CTGTGACCTGAAGGCATTCCATCTAGAATTTTAACCTCTGCATCAAATATCCACCCCTGTTTTGTTTGTGAAAAATCCCAGTGGGGGCCTGGCATGGTAGCCCAGCGGCTTAAATCATCTCCTTGAATGTGCCAAGATCCCATATGGACGTCGGTTCTAATCCCAGCAACCCTGATTCTCATCCAGCTCCCTGCTTGTAGCCTGGGAAAGCAGTCGAGGATGGCTCAAAGCCTTGGAGACCCCACACCCACGTGGGAGATCCGGAAGAGACTCCACAACTCCATTGCGGACACTTGGGGAGTGAATCAATGGGAAGAAGATCTTCCTCTCTCTCCTCCTCTTTGTATAACTGACTTTGCAATTAAAAATAAGTAAATCTTTAAAATAAAAAAAAATCTGAGTGGATGCATGAAAACATGTACATATGTGCACAAAACATATGTTCTTCCTGGGGTCAGGGATGTGGTACAAGGAATAGAGCTGCCAGTTGCAAACTCAGTGTCTTAAACAGGTGCCAGTTTGTGTCCCAGCAGCTCCACTTGCCATATAGCTCCTCAGTAATATCCCTGAAAAGCAGCAGGAGGCGACACAGGTGCCTGGGATCCCGCACCCATATGGAATACCCAGAAGAAGCTCCTAGCTCCTGGCTTCAGCATGACTCCGACCCTCTTGTTGCAGCCATCTGGAAGTGAACTAGCAAATCAAAGATATCTCTGTCCACCTGTCTTCTATTTCTGCAAATCTGCCTGTCAAAGAAGTTTTGAAATTTTGTTCTGTTTATCCACATACATAATATACATGCATGTGTTTATATAAACACAAAGCAAAATATGCATCAGAGGGCCTTCAAAAAATTCATAGAAAGGTTATTATTAAAAAAATGATTTTTTATGGAGTTTTAAAATTTTGCACCGAAACAAACTTTCATTTTGTTTTATTGGGAGATTTTGAAGTAGAGACACACACACACACACACACACACACACACACACACACACACACACACATTCCATCCTGACATTTATACGCAGTCTTAGTATTCATTGCATTTTCCTGGTGCACATGGATGCAGCCACAGGCTTATTTTTGATTGGCTGCTTTCATTCTTTTCAATGACCGCGGAGTGTTCATTTGTGGACAGTTCTGTGGTTTCCAGTCGCTCCTTTGGCATGTGCTTCCTGTTTGGCTGTGGAGAATTATGCGGCTGATATATCCGGTGGTCTAGATCATCCTCAACCTTCGCCTTGCTATCGTGGATGAAAATTCTTTGCAGTAATGTTCTGAATCCGAACGCACACGTATTTTCAGCTCTGCCCATTTGTTCCTCCATGGATTTGGACACATCTTACTTCCCAGCGCCTTCCCTCTGGCAGACACAGTGTTCCTAGCACTGCTTTCCTGGTTTTTATTGTCATCCCTTACAATGTGTGCGGTTTTGCACCCTCACATGTTTGCTGCACATTCTCCTTTATTTTTCCGTGAAATTTTTTTGTGGAAAGGATTGCTTTTGATTTCTTCCCAATAGATTTCCGTGCATTCTTTAAACCTTAAGAACAGTAGTAAATGGCATCTGAGTAGCCAATATTTTCCAATTTTTTCATTATGTTTTGAGTTTTTTATTAATCATGTTTGCTGCTTACCACATCAAGTTGGAAGCTAATCAAGTTTAACTTTAGTTCTTTATGGTTTCTAAGTGTTTAATCCCAATCACAAATTTCTCCCTTAAGATTACAATTAACTTTACCCTCATAGTTACATAGGTATATTAATATAGTCTTATACAGTTTTTATTAAATAAATCATTCATTAATTAATGAGCATCAAATCCAAAATGTGGAATAAAATCTATCGTGCTATTGTCTATACTTGTGGACATTCTATATGATTTCTGCTGATTTATGAAATCTGCTGTGGTTCAGTGAGTTTTTGTTAATTTTATTTTTTGTTATTTGAAATCAGAGTTACAGAGAGAACTATTTACAGAGAGAGAGAGAGAGAAAGCAGGAGGCTTCTTCCAGTCTTCCATAGAGGTCACAGAGGCCCCAGCACTTGAGCCGTTCTCTGCCACCTTTCCTATTAGCAGGGAGCTCCGTGGGAGGTGCAGCAGCCAGGGTTTTAATCGGCTCCCAAATGGAGTGTCAAAGGCAGAAGCTTTACCTGTTAGCTCAACAAGGCCAGCCCCTTATTTTTATTTTTAAATCATATTTGTTTATTTGAGATGCAAAGGGAGAGAGAGAGATGAAGAGGACTACTACATGGTGCCTCTACGTCGGTTCATGTTGTTTTTAATGATTTATTTATTTTTAATGCAAAGTCAGATTTACAGGGAGAATGAGAGACAGAAAGATATTCCGTCTGCTGGTTCACTCCCCAAGTGGCCTCAACGGCTGGAGCTGAGCCAATCCGAAGCCAGGAGCCAGGAGCCTCTTTGGGTCTCCCAAACAGGTGCAGGTTCCTAAGGCTTTGGGCCATTTTCGACTGCTTTCCCAGGCCACAAGCAGGGAGCTGCTACCGTATGAACTTGCTCACAAAGGGGATCCCGGTGGGTTCTAGGCGGGTCACTAGGCTATTGTGCCAGACCCTGATTCACTGTCAATATGCCTGCAATGATTGGTGCTAGGCCCAAATCAAGGGTTAGGAACACTCTTGGTCTCCCACGTGGCTGGTAGGAACCCAGTTACTTCAATTTGCATCGCTGCCTCTCCCACGCTCCTCCCATGCACATCGTCAGGAAGCTGGACTTTGAGCCAAAGTAAGAAGTCAGCCTCAAAATTCTGTTACGGAACACGAGCATCTTAGCTGCTAGGCTAAAAACCAGCTTCCTATCTTAATTTTGATGTGGTCAAATCACCAAAAGTTACTGTTTTATATTTTTTGTGGTTTATTGAGAATTTTCTCATACATGAAGTTGTTGGTCCAATAATATTCTACTGCTTACTATATATTGCATGCATGTGACTCCTTAATTAACCTTTTATTTCATGAGCTAAGGTATACAACAAATTTATTTCATGAGTTAAAAATTACTCTAGCACGGTTATTCTTGGGGCTTACATTTCCCTCTGACTTGAAATGCTGCATATATCCCTGTAACATGCACTCAAGACTCTCAATATCATTGTGGATTTTCCTGGAGTGCTGGTAGTTCTACTTTGTAATTTTAAAGCTATGTTGTTAGGTAGATTAAAAGGCATAAGTATTTATCATTTAGTGGGTTGTTCCTCCTGTTGACAGAAAACATCCATCTTGTCTCTTTTTAAGATGTATTTTATACAGAACTATGTTTTATTTGTTAGGGATGTTGTAAGCTTTCTTCCCCTGTAATTCTTAGAATGGACCTTTAAATCTAGTCGCTTGATCTTTTTCTCTATCGTTTTCAAATGAGCTCTTTCAGATGGCAGATGACTGCATGTTCGAAGTTAATATGTGCATATCTGTCATTTTGCTCTTAAATAGAATCATCCCAGGTATCATAATCACTTATGGTTTCACACCTTTTATACTTCTTTTCAACTTACCGTGTTGTGTTGTTACAACCCTCCATTATTAGTTTTGCTAAATAAAAGTTATCTTTGTACTTCCTGTTCCATGTTTTCCTCATATTTCTTATATTCTAATGACATTTCATTGTTTTCATACACATGCAAATGTTTTTTCCATCATTATCTAAAATTAATCGGCATTAACCGTCTACGCTAGCCTTATCAACCACAACTAGTGTAAAACGTCATCAGTAAAAATCTATCCATCCTAAAATAAAACTATCAGATCCCATGAGAGGTAGCTGAAACAGCACTAAAAGGACTTTTACGTTATTTCCCTCAGCTCGTTCCCTGTGTTTTGTAGTAAGATAATCTAGCAGGTGTAGTCTTGGCTCCAACTTTCTGCCCTTTACATGGGTCATGACACTGCTGGCATAGGCAAGGCTAGAAAGTTTAATAGTCTAGTTTCTGGAATAGTTAGGCGTTTCATTGAGAGTCTACTTTTATTCAGTTGTAGAGATGCATTCTGTCCATTTTCTTTGGTTGCTGGTTCTCTGGGCTCCATCACATCCTTCGTTTGTGAGATTGCAGGTCTATGTTTGTTTGCCCTAGCTTTTGTTTTGCATTCTCAATGGAGGCTGTCTTGGATTAGAGTGAACACTCCCAAAGAAACTGTTAAAAGTGATTGGCAATGGGATGTTGGATTCTCTGCCATTGTTCCTACCTGCAGTTAGGGATATGCTTAAATAGCAAAATTATGGACCTGTGTCTGTTTATGAAGGATTATGCTACTGTGACAATATGGGGAAAATTAGTGAGGGGAGGGGATTTTGGGAGGAGGAGGGGAAACCCTAGAACCTATAGAACTACATTGTAAAATGGTGATGATGATGATGACGACGATACAGTTTTTTAAATCCATCCATCCCTCAATCATATGATTTACTCTAGCCAAAGCTGAAACCCAGAATTAGGAGCTGTAAAGACTGTAGTGCTCACATGTTACTCTTGCTGGACGCCACAATCAGCGTAATCGCCTGGTAGCAGGCTGCCGGGGAGGAGCTGTGGAGCAGTGGGCAGAAATTCTGAATCAGTGTCCCACAATGAAGTCCTTCCATTAGTGTCTGTTCAGCTGCTACCAAGAATAACCCAACTGTTCATTCATTTTGTTTGTCGTAGAATTCACATGCAATAAAACAGGCTGCAAATACTTTTCGGCTGTTAGGCACAGTGTGCGATCGATGCAGAATCAAATGAGAAGACAGACCCAAGATTCTGAAGTGATGAGCCCTTCTGGAATGGGCCTGATATCACCAAGCAGGTCGGGGAGCGGTCGTGGGCTACCCCGTGCCTGTGATGAATAGGATACCAATGATGTCTTCTTTTCCTGATCAGGTGCCCAGGAGGAACTGGACAGCCCAGCAATTTTCAGTGCCCAACTGTTGTATTGTCTCATATTCCTTTTCCCCTCCAACAACGAATCCTCCAACTCAACCCTGCGTATGTTGTTCCCTGCAGTACTCGAAGGCAGAAAGACATCCTGTGACTGCGCTGGAGAAAATGATGGAGTCGAGTTTCACTGGCCCCCAGTCCTTCCCCGAGGTCCCTTCTGCTGACAGAGGAAACCAGTCTGCCAAACACCACAGGTACAGGTAGCTAACCATGGTAGTGGCGGGCCAGTTCATGCCATGGGTATGCTCTACAACGCATGCCAAGATGTTCAGTCTTGCTGGTCCTGTAAGTCTTTCACGGAGGAGGGATTTAACAGGTAATCAGAGTTGCTGTTTTCCCTTGCAGGCCCTATTGGAAGGTGGGGGAAGCGATTAGGAATCCCCATGCTTTAATTAAAGACACAGACCAGTGAATAAAACAATTGTTTTCTGGAAAACTATTAAAACCGTGACATTTCCCCTGGCTTCCGTTTCCATCATCAGCAAAGTTCATGATTCATTCTTCCCCGGGCAGCTGATGGGTCACGCTCCATTTCTTCCAGCCTGGCTTTCACAAAAGCCTACCTCACAGTGAGAAGGATTCCGACAAGTCTCCTTAGTTCTCTAAGATCTTCTATTATCCACACAGTGGTCCTCTTCTGCACGCAGAGCACAGAAAGTGCCTTCCAGGTGGCCCGAGAAAGTAAAATCAAAAAGATTTTCATTCATTTGATGTCTCTGAGAAGTGGAACATGTATGTATCAAACTTTAGTTGAGACTTTAGTGTTTTATATGTAAGAGATCTGTAATTCCAAGAAATGATGAAATTTGGGAATAATACTGGAAAAGAACACATGTTTAGGTATGTTCAAATGTCTACATTCAATTTTCCTAATATATTTTTAAAGATCTATTTTATTTTTACCAGAAAGTCAGATATACAGAGAGAAGAAGAGACAGAGGAAGATCTAGTGTCTGGTGATTCACTCCACAAGTGGCCACAATGGCTAGAGCTGTGCCGATCTGAAGCCAGGAGCTAGGAGCCTCTACTGAGTCTCCCATGCGGGTGCAGGGTTCCAAGGCTTTGGGCCATCCTGTACTGCTTTCCCAGGCCACAAGCAGAAAGCTGGATGGGAAGCGGGGCTGCTGGGAATAGAACCAGCGACTATATGGGATCCTGGTGCATTCGAGGCGAGGACTTCAGCCCTTAGGCTACTGCACCAGGCCCAATTTTCCTAAGATTTAAGCATCTTTCTCTTAGTAAGTGGTATTGAAAATGAAAATATGTAATAAAAATCAGACAATTTTGTATGAAAGATAAGAAATAATAACTGTGCTTAGTAAGGATGAATATATGACACCAGCTCTTCGCTTCCATTTTCATTGCAAACACTTTGAAGTTCACCAAGTCAGATACATGTGTTATATAAGAAAGCTACGTCTTCTTTTGCCACTTGATGCATTGCATGAAAAAGATTTCATTGTTCCTGGCCACGCTGATTTTGAGATTTCAAATTACTCAACACTGATAGTTAGCTCTTGATGGCGATTTTTGTTTTCATTCAGTGTAATCAGAGAGTTAGGCACCGAAGGCTTGCTAATATTTTTAATGATTTAACTATATTCCGTCAGGCTTGACCTATGTTTGGATATAGGAGGAGGCTTCAGCTATTAGCTGCAAGTTTTGGCTATAGCCATTGTTGCATTTACTGAATGTTTCCTGGTGAAAACACCATTCCATTTCACCGGACCTAATTGGAGAAACAAGTCCAAGATTACCCACTTTTTAGAAGATGGATTGGTTTCTCCAAAACAGTATTTTCCCCTGCTGATTATCACACATATTAAAGTAGTATTCCACCCAGCTCAATAAAATGGTTTAATATTATGTTACTCTAAAACTATTACATGCGGTGGAAAAAATAAAGCACAGCCTCTGATACATCTGAGCTGTAATACCCTTGCTCCCAGCCCTTGTTCATTTCTGTGTTCGTTACTGTGGATTCCTGAAGTCACTGCCGATTCATTGATTATATCTTTAGGAGACATTTCTTTTTCTTTCATTCATTGACATTGCAATATCCCTTGGCGTTCAGCAGTTGATTGATAAACTGGCTTTAGCACTTTGTAAATTATAGCTTCAAATAGCATGGTTTTTGGTTTGTAAAACACGCAATAATAGCCTTAAATTTTTTCAGGATTGATAACCCACTCACTGATTTATAATTCCTGTCGACTGCTCCATAACTTCCCGAATGCCACAGGGTTATCAGGATTGAATAGTTGATTGATCAGTAGGTATAGAAATGTTTTATAAGATGGGACAGTTCTTCAAACAGGAAGACTCTGTTGTTCTGACATTTTGTCAAGCCATGAATAATTAATATCTTTCTGTATGCTGTAAATAGGTTTCATTTTGGACAATCGCTTTATGATATGACACTGTTAATTCAAAGGTGTCATTTCTATAGTTTATCCCCCACGTGCGTTCATGCCCTACCCCGATTTCTGCCCTTAAAAGCAAAAGTCTACGATCGCATATCATCCTTGTTGAATTTTTTTTTGATAATGTAACTCACTTAGAGAAAGCACGTAGGTAGGTTTTCTGCAGTGAAAGAAATCCCAAACCTTCAATGAGCAGGAAAAAGCTGGTTCTCTGTGTTTCCACTTGAGACAGAGCTACTGGACCACTGAGTGCGCTGGGTACCTACTATGTGCCACTCTCATGCGAGATGCATGGCATTCTTTTTGCTTTTATTTAAACCTTCAAAATAGGAAGACTTAAATAAAATCTCAGAAAAAGGCAATTAAGAGCTGTGTATCTTAGGCCCAGTAGCCTAGTGGCTAAATTCCTTGCCTTGCATGGGCCAAGATCCCATATGGGCCCTGGTTTTAATCCTGGTGGCCCCACTTCCCACCCAGCTCCCTGCTTGTGGCCTGGGAAAGCAGTCGAGGACGGCCCAAAGCCTTGGGACCCTGCACCTGTGTGGGAGACCCAGAAGAAACTCCTGGCTTCTGGCTTTGGATTGGTGAAGCTCTGGCTGTTGTGGACAGAAGATTTTCCTCTGTATTTTCTCCTCTCTGTGAATCTGACTTCAAATAAAAAATAAACAAACATTTAAAGAAAAGGTGTGTATTTTGATGCAAAAATGTCTGTGATAGATCTCTTAAGATGAATTTTTCAGAAGGCTCCTTCTGCTTAGTTAAGCACAATGCTAAGCTCTCCCCTTAACCCCTCTGTCTAGTCTCCCCGTTTCTTCGCCCTTCCCTGTGCCCCAGGAGGGCTGCAGGGTCCCTTGTCCTCTGGTTTCTGTTGATTTAAACGGAGACACAGATAAGAGACAGAAAAGGCCCTAGCACTTGTGTACCTACCTCCCTGGTTCTTGACCAGAGAGCCTGCCAAGTGGCCATCTCTTATTGATTTAATTTTTCTCCATTTTCATCAGGGCTCCGTGTCCTGTTTCATTCAGCTGGAGGCTTAGAAACATTTCCCATTGTTACAACCCCTGAGTATCTCTTCCAGCCTTATGTCTCTCACAGCCCTACGCTTTTCTCTTAGACACTGAATACATCTGTGCAAACGGTCAAATCTCCTCAAATGACACAATTGAAATGGCTGCTTGTTTCCCTGTGGAATTCTGGAACAAGTGCCTTTCTCAGAATTGCACGCATTGCAGCATACTGACATGAGACTTAGAGCCAGGTGCATCTGATGACAGCCCTGTCCTCTGAAGACGCTGTCATTGCCATTGGACGCTGGGTAGAAGTAGTCGTAGGAATCTCTTAATTCTTAGGGAGTCTAGTTCTTTGATTTAATGTCGTGTAGGGGGTAACCCTTTGTTAAGGTCCATGGTTTATGTCACTCCTGCCTTTTGCTGTTTGATGGCATCTACAAACACAGGAATATTTGGGAACTTTGATATACATATACATCAAATTAAATTTATAATCAGCTGTTTGTTAAAAAAAATATTTTTTTCTCAAATTTGATGAAAATCTGGAGAAGTGAGCCAGGAATTTAACACATATCTTAAAAAGAAAATGACTATTAAAGTGAGGTACTTTTTAGTTAGTCTGTCACTTACAAGTGAAAATGTTTCCATATAGCCCCCTGCTTCCTATGTTTAGATTTTGTGTGCAATAATATGGCCTTACAAAATTCTGAAGCTCACCTTTTACCTTTTGCTGGAAATTTAGGTCAACCTGATTAAAATAAGAAGCCATGGGCCCGGCGCAGTGGCGTAGTGGTTAAGGTCCTTGCCTTGCACGCCCAGGATCCCATGTGGGTGCCGGTTCTAGCCCGGCAGCCCCGCTTCCCTTCCAGCTCCCTGCTTGTGGCCCGGGAGAGCAGTCAAGGACGGCCCAAAGCTTTGGGACCCTGCACCCACGTGGGAGACCTGGAAGAGGCTCCTGGCTATGGATCGGCATAGCATTGGCCATTGCGCTCACTTGGGGAGTGAATCATCAGACGGAAGATCTTCCTCTCTGTCTCTCCTCTCTGTATATCTGCCTTTCCAATAAAAAAATAATAAAAATAAATCTTTTAAAAAAAATAAGAAGCCATAAAGATAGGAGCTTGTGTTTGTCAGGGTCTCCAGGAGTAAACAGGCCCCCTATTCACAGAAATGTTGTGCTTGTGAATGGCTCTTGGCCCAGAGCTTTGGGGATTTGGCTTGATGGTGTTTGAGTAGTTTGAGAGACCACCTGTGAGTTGATTGCTATGATGGTTTTTGGTTTGTTTTCTGTCGGACTTTCCCCAGAAGGAGTCTCTCCTCGTGCTGCAGCCCAGGACCAAGGAGTGGGGTGCTCCACAGGAATGCCTTCGGAAGGACCCCGCCTTCACCCCGCAGGAGGCTGGGTGGGATGATGGGACCAGCATATCAACAGCTAGAGGAATCCAGGATCCCAGACCAGGATACGATCCCTTGTCAAGGGTAGGTCTTCAAAGCAATGGGACTTAGGGAGGATGTCATACCAAAGCTATCACTTTCAACTGAATTATATTTTTCTTGGGGTTTTATTCACTGACTCTTTATTGATTGGCTTTTTGTGCTTGTTACTATATTTCCCCAAAGACAAACCATCTTAAAATAACAGTTATAAAGAAATTTGTTTTAGGGACAGTTAGACTGAAAAAAAAATATATAACACTAGGAAGAAAGCAAATTTAGCTATTTAGATAATATGTTACTATATCTATTCTAAAACAACTGGGAAGTCATCTTTTATAAAAATAATAGTAGAGATGACTTAAGAGGATTAAAATGTTCCTTCCTATACCAGTAGTTTTAAGGAACAGTACTTAATTCTTTAATTAGTACTACAAACAGTGCCCTAAAGAACTAGCTACAGCATTTGGACAGTTTCTGCTTCCATTCTGCATTTCTGGATGTGGATTTTAGATCAATATTAAGAGCTCATTGTCACAGTAGAACATATTGAACTCATGGATGACCTTGGGACTTGAGGGGTGCCACAGCTTATAGTACAAAAGATGTCCCACCACCCCGATGCGCTGAGCCCCACAAGGCTCACTACATGGTGACTCAAGTACAGGCTGGGTTTTGTTCAGCATGCATTTAGTTGACCTAGCACTGTCTACCAAACGCCAAAGCTCTTGCTAAAACTGGCTGAAGCTCAAGTCTCATCTTTGTTCCTTTCCTCTTGCATATGAACTTGAGAAAATCTTACCCTGTGAGCTTATGTTTTCTTATTTACAAGTGGAGAATAATAGCAGTTCCCTGAGGATGACCAGAAAAACTTTAAAGATAATGTCACATGTACAGAGCTTGCACCTGACTGCAAATAATCGGAGAAGTAGGACTTAGTACTTATAACCATGGAAATTATGGTGTCATAATGTCATTATAATGGCATCATTAATTTCAAGAGCCATGCATCCAGGTTTTTATTCCAGACATTCCAATCAGTTCCTTCACCCACATCAGGATATGGTGGCCTATAGTTTTTATCTTTCTGAATGAACAAGGGCAGCTTGCTATGCTGCTCCAGCCTTGGTTATTTTTCCAGATTGTCTGTCAAACTAAAGAACAAAGCAGGTGGGAGGTCTCATGTAGAACTTTACCTTTTCTTTTTTCTTTTTCTTCTGGCCCCTGGGTAAACTGCACACTGTCTGACAAAGCTTGGCAACAGATTTCTTTAAGACTAGAAGATAGGACATAAATAGCCTGCAGCCAGCTTTTGTAATTTTGAAGTAATTCCAAATGGACTGTAAAATGCATTTGATACAGATTTAGGGCGACAGTTGCAAATTCAAAGTAACAGCCAAGTTGTCCAAAATGTGTAATGCAAGTCAAAAGCACTTAGTATTTTTCTTGGCCTTATTTCTGGCTTACATTTAACCAATAATTATAACTAATCGTGTCTCGTAATTTTCTTTTAAATCACTGATGATACGCCATAAACTTTGGACAAATGTCAGCATGAGAAGAATTAAAAGAAAATGAACTTTGGAGATCTTTTGAAAGGAGAGAAAATCCATCCTGTGCTGCTCTCCTTTCTGTTGGGAATTGCTGTGTCCATCATCACACTATGGGGTCAGGTGTCAAGCCAGGCGTACAGGTGTCCTCAGGGGCTCAGAGATTCCCACTGCATGTTCAGGCAATACTTCAAGTATGGCCTCCTGGGGGACTCATATGGAATGTTGGAATGGTGGTAGCTTTGTTTTGGTTCAGTCACCATTGGGTTGTGGACATTCTCTGTGGCAGGCTGGGCACACATATGTTCCTATGTGTGATATGCACCTGATGTTGATAAACGGTGACTCTTAAGTAGAAGTCACCATTCGTTCATCCCAGGGAGCAATCTCATTCTCAGTTCTTGAAAAACAGCTATTTTCCACCCCTTGGGGACTGACTGTCTCTTTGGACTAGAAAAGGGATTAATAATAAAGTTTCACAGCTAAGGGCCCTCCTCAAATCTGGCCCTAGCTGAGAGGGGAAGTGAATGAATTTGTAAGATCAGCCATCTGCTGCTTATTTACTAGGTGTGTGGCACCGTCTGCTAGTTAAGTTCCTAGTGTGTGGCTTTTCTCCTTGGCACAAAGTGCAGCCAAGCTTGGACCCAGCACCTGTCTTAATGTCATCTGGGAAGGACTGAAGTAGAAAGGAGATTCTTGAGCAAACCTGGCCTGTGTCAACCATAGTAACAATTCAGAAATCTTCGAACTGGGTCGTGTCAGGCAAATCAAGCTAATGCCATCCTATGATGAATATAAAAATGGGATCACAATAGTTAGCTTCACATTTTAACCACAGACAGGATATGAAATGTGATGGGTATTTATCATACCTAGATAATACCAGTGTGTACTTCACATTAGATAGTCTTTGGATATTTTATAGATAATCACATTAAGGACAGTGGCATTTACATAACTAGCCCAAAATAATTTGGATAATTCCATGGAAAAGACCCAAGATTGAACCTTGGCCTTTCTGACTGAATAAACCACAACAACAGGAGTGTTTAAACGGAAGCTCTAGTTGTATGCTTCCAGGAAGAAAATTGAATTTCTACAATTTATTTCAATCCTGCTAATGCCGTATATCCCAGGAACTAAGTCTTACACAAGGAAGCAGGTGCAGCTTCCTTGATGATCAAATTACTGGAACTAAGTAACTGATTGTTGGGATCTTTCTTCTCCTAAAAGACTTGTTGGCTTACATAGTCACAGGCAAATGCATTTATGATTTCTTCCTAGAAGAATGAGATAAAAAGACAGTTCCAACAGGGTCATGATCAATGAATGACTAATTCATGGATTGGACAAGTGACAGAGTCATTGAATCATGGGACACAAAACTGGGAATCACATTTTGAAATTCAGCTCCACTTATAATTCTGCTCAAATCCCAGGACTGAGGCCCTACCAGCATTCCCGCAGAGGAGGGAAGCATTTGCCATGGTATGTCTGTTGTAACAGGATCCAGGCAATGTGGCCACTAGCCATCATTAGTAATCCGCTCAGAATCCACTACAGAATAGATGGAAAAAGTGAAAAATAAGCTTCCCTTTGAGATTCCAGGGCAGGGTATAGTATTGGGACTTGAAACCATCCTCGGGAGAATTCTAGTCAAGCCCATCTTCATATTTTTCTTTCTATTTTTACAAGTCCTGTATTCAGTAGCAAGCGGCTTGTAAGGCACCATTGATGGTCTTTGAAGGCCTCCTTCTGATCTAAGTCCTTTAGATTCAGCACTCAGGTATATTAGAAGAATGTTGTGTGTGTCTTGCTAGATTGGCCTTTTCTTCGCCATGCCATGCTATAAATGATTGAAGCAATGATTTTAAAATGCCCTCAAAGATATTTACATGTTGCACTAACCTTGCTTTACAGGTAGCGTTCTGATGCAGGTATTAAGAATATATTGCTCTCCCCATACCTCTCAGCTTACTAAAGTCTACCTGATGTCATAGTTTGATGGTATAGGACACAGTCCTATCCTGGCTGAGTTTCTTGGCTCTGTTCCAGTGGTAAATCTGTTCGGTAGATTTTCTGTCTCTTTGTACATATTAGCAGTGTTAAGAGAACAGGGCCTAGTCCTAAATAAAAAAGCAAGAACCTTCAACTCTCCTCCTTTGTTCTTGTTGAAATTGATTCATCGATCAGAACTTTTTGAAAACCAGAAAACCATCAGATTTTCAGTCACTTAACACAAGAGAGAAAGATGTAAAATTCCCCAAAGAGTGATCTTATGTGTGGTTTGCATACTTTGTGGGGGTAAAATTATGCCACATGAAAGAAGTATTCATGTTTACCTTAGGGTGTCCATTTGTTAGCATCCTCTGGTTTTCATCGTATTGGTTGTAACTCCTTTTTCTGCCACTTACTAAAGGTTAAATTTAGGGCAAGTCACTTGAGTGTGCCGTAGGGTAGTTTAGTCATCCATTACAAGACTATAATAATATATAAGCCACAAGTTTAAAGAAAAACTAATGAGGTAATAGAAGATGAAAATGCTTTTGTAAAAGTATTCTGCAATTGCTAACTCTACTACTATGCCTGAAAGTGGATATTAATTAGAATGCAAGGGAACATGCATATTCAAGATTTGTTCTTGTCTTCCCATGTTAATAAGATCAAAGTTTATTGATCGCCAACTCTGTGCTAGACATGGTAAAAGTAAATGAAATTCCAAAGACCAAAATCTGTCCTCTTTTTGGTCTGGTGGAATGGTAGACCTGAAAATCAGCCAATAACAATTTTTTTTTTTTACCAGAAAAATGTATAGTTAGTGTGCATCTCAATTTAAGATTGAAATTTAAATTATTCTATACACATAGAAATACAAGTGTAATTTGCATTATAAAGCAAACCAGGAAGTAATATTTACTGTATTGAGATTAGATCTGTTTTATATTACGGTTTTTAAAATTTTAAAAACTTTTATTGTACAATTGTATAGGCAATTGGATTTCCTTACCCCCTCCCCAAATTTCCAATCGGCTACTGATTTTTTCCCAATATTATTACAATAGTATAGTCCTTCATAAGCAGTCATATGTCCATCTGTCTGTTATTTAAGTGTTTCCCGACATTGCTGGAATGGAACGTGCCAGATATGTTCAATGAGAGACAAACAATGAGAACTAAAGGAAATTTTTAAGTTCTAAAACCATGTATCCATTCATCTGTAAGGAACCTGTCTGAGTTTGCAGCTCTGAAAAGCTCAAAGGAGGAAAAGAATCACAAGCCTTAAAGTACCAAGGAGAACAGCCAGAGGCCAACATTTCCAAAGCACTCGGAAGGCCATTTTAGCATCCTTGTCAACCCAGTACCATGCACCCATCGATTACCTTATTGAGCCCCACAAATGATGTCAGCAAAGCTAACTGGCTGAAGAAGCCCAACTGCACTTACTTCTTCCCCCTTCCCTGGATGCAGAGAAGTCATCTGCTTCCCGTCCCTCTCTTTGGCCAGGCCAACTGCCAGACAGGCAGTGCATAGGGAGAAAAGTGCCATTGGCACTTGAATTTGTGCCCCCTGAAATTCAATGTGAACCAGAAATGCATAGAAATGCAATGTCTTGATGCTTGTCTTTGGGCATCCCTATTGCCTCCAAGTAGGGTGGCCCCAAAGAAGTCTACTGGACTATGTTGTGGCTGAGAGGGTGGTCGAGTTGATGGAATAATGCCATTATGGGTTTCCTGTTTGTCACTACGGAAAGGCCACACTTACCTGCTCAATCCCCATTTACTTTGTATTCTAGGATAGAGGTCAGGAAGACTATATCCCACCTGCCTTTACAGCTGTGGTGTGTTGAAAGACCCCTGGACTTAAAGTAAGAAGATCTGGGTTTGAGTCTCAGTCTGTCACTTATTTTCTGTGTGACCTTGGGCAAGTCACTTGACCTATCTGAGCTTCAGTTTACTTCTCTGTGTAACTGGGAGCGTACTATCCGTCTCATGGGGTTGCTGTGAGAATTCAGTGAGCTGCTGCATGTGGTGCTTTGTGGACTGAGTATTACCCTCGAGAGGCACAGCAAGAAGCAGAAGGTGTAACTTCTTCTTTTTTTTTCTTTTTTCTTTTCCAGGTATTCATCCAATGGTTTAAAAACCCAACAAAATGCATCAATAAATATGCAACTGCCTTCAAGAGAAACAAACCCCTATTTTAATAGCTTGGATCAAAAGGACCTGCTGGGATATCCGTCTACAAGGGCCAGTTCTGTGCCCATCATCCCTTCAGTGGGTCTAGAAGAAACCTGCATGCAAATGCCAGGGATTTCTGAAGTCAAAAGCATCAAATGGTGCAAAAACTCTTTCTCCGCTGACATTGTCAATGTGAGTATCCCAGTCAGCGATTGTCTTATAGCAGAACAACAGGAAGTGAAAATATTGCTAGAAACTGTCCAGGAGCAGATCCGAATTCTGACTGATGCCAGACGGTTGGAAGACTATGAACTGGCCAGCGTAGAGACGGAGGACAGTGCAAGTGAAAACACAGCCTTTCTCCCCCTGAGTCCCACAGCCAAATCAGAACGAGAGGCACAATTTGTCTTAAGAAACGAAATACAAAGAGACTCTGCATTGACCAAGTGACTTGAGAATCTGTGCATTCTATGCTTTGCTCAACAGGAAAGAGAGGAAAGTAAATACAAATTATTTATATGCATTAATTTAAGAGCATCTACTTAGAAGAAACCAAATAGTCTATCGCCCTCATATCATAGTGTTTTTTAACAAAATATTTTTTTAAGGGGAAAGAAATGTTTCAGGAGGGATAAAGCTTCCGCTAAAGCTTTTGGGTAGAATTCTGAATCCTGTTTCAGTTAGTCCCAACACGGTCCTCCTCTTTGGCTCTTAAAAGATGTGGGCAGTTGACTCCCTCGGTCCCGCAGTGCCAGTGTACTTCTTCATCAGAAAGCCCTGGCAGATAACCTAGTTCCTAGAGATGAGCTGAAGCCTGGGGGTGGATGTGCCAGTGAGCAGGTGGCTCTTGCCATTTGGCTCACCCATCCCAGCCCCTGACTTTCTCTTGAACCCTACAGCCACATCCCAGGTTTTGTCATGTCAAGAAATGTAGTGTTTTGTATTTGATTTTTTGAAGAATGGTACCAAGACTGAAATGGAAAACAGGAGAGAGAAGAAGTAATTGAGGCAATCTTAACTATGTGTTTGCCCTCTTCCTCTGAAATGCGAAAGCGCAGAATCTCAGAGGAAGATACAAAAAATGTTATAGAGACAGAGAAAAAAATTCCAACCACAATGTTGTGTCACTAAAATCATGCTAATAGAGAATTTTTTCCCCTTTGGAATTGTTTAAAGGCCCTGAAGGCATGTTTCCAGTTTGTGTGTGTGTGTGTGTGTGTGTGTGTGTGTGTGTGTGTGTGTGTGTGTGTGTGTGAGCCCACTCACATATACTGTATGCACATGTGTTCATTGTACACATGTGTGTGCCTGTGTGTGTGTTTATTAAGCTTGCTCAAATTTGTTCTGAAACATCAGGGAATCTAATATTAAAAAAAAAAACCTTCCCTTCTAAATCTGTTCCTTTTAAATTTTCCCATTAAACATGAAGTTCAGTTAGTAAGTTCCTAAGTCGTGGTCACTTGCATGGTGGGTTCCATAAAACTCTTGATAACATCAAGCCCATTTTCTGATGTGAACACTTGTAAGAGGAACAACTATTGATTCTTTAAAGAAAATCAGTCTCCCAAAGCAAATTATTCTTTGGAATAATTCCAAATTTCTTTGGAATCATGCCTCCTTAAAATATTTACACAAGCCAAATATCCAATTGACCGTTGCTATTTCATTCCCCACGCATTTGTTTCACACCAGGTCTACTATGTGTGGACCAAGGCATTGGCTTCTGTGGTTAATACGGAAAGAATACATTGCTGAAATCACAAAGCCCCGACTGTTCAGTTCACAAGAATCCCCAAAAGAACAGCAAATGATGTTGTGTGTTCATTTGGAATAAAGCAATATTTTTACCACTGAGGTGAACTGAACCCTTTCCTGAAGATTTAACTGTCTGCTTCATTTTCCTTTACCTTCACGGGGCATTAAGGAAACCAGTGTCCACATGTCCAGTCTTTTTTCAAGTATCAGTGGCGTTGAGTTGTTATGTTTACATTGTTTTAATAAAAAGTCACAGTATTTGAAAGCATACAAAAGATTTCTTTTCCTGCAGTTTGGGGAAATGCTGGTTAAAATTTCTCTATTAAAAAAAAAAAAACAACTCCTATTCCGTGGAATAGGAATACAAATATTTCTGAATCAAACAATGAATATGTATAATTCTTATTTCGGGTTATATTATTCTTGTTGAAAATATATTTCAAACTGCTCTTAAAGAACATTCAATAATAATAGACATAATGCCATCTAGGGACCAGAAAAGACTCTATCTGTTTATCACAACTGTTGAGTCGAAATTCAAGGTCTTGAATACTGAAAATCTCTATGGTGGAAATGCATTTTATATTTGCCAGAAGGTTGTGTGATGGCTATTAGTTGTCTCCTAATGGTTCTGTTAGAAACTTGAACAGATGATTCTATATTTTAATGTGCTCATGACTTAAATTCTCAGTTTAAAATATTATATCTTTTGGAAGATTTTTGGCAAAGGGTCCTAATGAACAAGTGTATAAAAGCCCAGCAAAGGAGTATCCAATATGTTATTGTGTAGAAATTTGTGACAATTATCAAGTAAATGAAAGGCCCCCAAAGCTGTTGAAGTCCATCTTGTTCATGCTTCTTTTTTTTCTATTAAAAAATATTACCTGTCGCTGATCTAAAGGATCCACCAAAAAAATCACCTATTCAAGAGGGCGTAAACTCTGTAACTCCCCACACTCACCTTCATATATTATTTGCAATGAAACCATGAAGATTGTCAATGAAATTTAAGTTCTCATTCAGCCTCTTACTTTTAAAAAAATGAAGCAGAACCATGTATTATATGATTATAACTCTCCTCCCTGTACATCCTAATGAGCATGTGCACCAGGCATACCCCATGGAGGTCTGATGTAAGGCAGAGGTATATAGCTACTTCCTTAATAATTAGTAGAAGAGACTGAATCCTCCATAAAGAACAAATGTGAATGGTTACTTTCAGTGGTCATTTGTCTCCTTTTGTGAAAAGTGTCCAAGCTGAAAATGCACATCCTTGGGCACCAGCTGACAAGTCTCATGGCATCAAGGCTTTCAAGGCCAATCAGATGTGACCAACACCTGGAGCCATTGCACTTTGTCCTTTCAGCTCACGTGCCTGCAGGAAGTGCTTATTTCTACGAGATACGTTTGATTTTGCTTCATTTTCCTTGTCTTTATTATGTGAGTAGCTACTTGGAAACTTGTAATTAAGTAGACTCCTTAGTCATTACTTATTGGAAAATGAATGTCATCCATTAATTTTTACTTTAAATAATTTTTGATATGTCTCTTTTTTATAAAGTGTATGCTATTCTAAGTTGCCAGTGACTACTGTGAAATATTTTTTTTTTTTCAAAAAATATATGATGAGTCTTCTTGCACATAAGAAACAATGGAAATGATGCTGGAAACATCAGACTTTGCTTACCCAGTTCCCTATGTCCATTAAGTGCTCTGTGTTTTACACTCCAGTTTGGAATCTACTTGGCTATGAATTAAGGACTAAAATTTTGTAAATTTATCACATCTATAATGGTTTACATTATTTTAAATAGTAACAGCAAGGTCCTCTTGAGGAGGAAGAGTGTTGTTTATAGAACTCCACAGAATAATGTGTTTGGATCATCGTAACATATCAAACCGGCCAAAAAGGAGAATGGATGGGTCAAGGCAACTTGAAGAAAATGCCCGCTGGCTTTTGAATGAAATGTGCATTGTTTCCTCAGCCTTTTGTCTAAGATAAAATGTAGAATCTGAATGGGATGTCCACTATCATTTGAGTGGGGGCCCTTGGTGACTGAAGCTTTCAGTCACCGTTTTTCCAACAGAAGATGTTGGATGTAGACAGCAGTGATCTGCAACCCTCCTGCAGTATGGTGCTATGGCAACCCATGACTCCCTATGTGTGTGTATTGGTGCAGGGAGAAATGGTGATCCCTTTGAATCCATGCCCATAAACCAGGAAATAGCACCCTGAGATAAGTGCTATGCAACGTTTCTCAGATGAGTCTGCAGTATCCCTGGAAACACAGCAAGGAGGGGTGGGCTTTTTATTTGATCTTTTGGTATCTGGGAAACATTTTATATATGAAGAATACTTTTTTATTATTATTCAATTGTATAGATTGGATACACTGTTTGCAATGGGTAGCATATTTACTCTGTGTTCGAATCCTGCTCTTTAGAAATTCAGTCCTCATTCTAGCAAGACCAGCATAAAGTTCTCAGTTTCACCTGAATAACAATATGCCCTGGGAAATGAAGCCTTTAAGCTTTAAGCTTTATCTCTGCTTTTGCATTCTTTCTTTCCTTTTGAAAGAATTAGTGAGCATAAAGGAAGGAACGTGTTCCTTAAGATCCACATTGTTTTCTTTCAACAATCTGTTTCCAACCATGACCACACACACACACATACATGCACATAATAAAGTCTAGCTGTCTGGCTGTTCGAAAAGCTTTATTTTGCTTTGATTAAGACACAACAAAGTGACCGCCTCCTGGAATCCCTGACATGAAAGCATTTAGATACGAGCCAACTTGGCAACTTTTCAACTCTACAGGCCTTTCTACTTTCTTCTTTTTCTGAGGTAAGCAGACATAACCTTTGGTTGCAGCTCACAGTAGCCTGAAATAAAAAGGTTTACTAGATTATCACTTAGCAATGAAAATCACATGAGTAGAAGTGATTTCTGTCTACAATGTGCAGTGGTCTCAAAGCTGTGTTTTTACTAGTGCAGACTTCTCTCGAGGTGCAAGTGTCTTTGCTTTCCGGTGCCCACCGAACTCTGAAGTGAGGACAGTGTGGGGGCATGTGGGTGTTTGGTAGGAAGAAGGGCTGTCACTGCACCTGCAGTGACAAGGAAGGCAGAGGTGATCAGACACAGTTAGGCCTGTAGGACTGTGATTGTCATGAATACCTGTTTTGATTGCATGCGTATTGTTGCCTATGAAAGAACTCATTGTGTGATAGCAAACAATCTCTTGCTGTTGGACATGAATTAGGAAAGTTCTTTATGCTGAAAGTGTTTGTGAAAGCTAATTTCTCAATCCACAAAAGTAACTCTGTGACCTTATCTGGCAAATAAGGTGGATGGTCTAACTGCTCATCGATTTCCTTTCCCAAATAAACACATTGTTAACCGGTCATTTTCCCCTAGACTATACCCGGTCACATGATATATATTAATGACTGCAAGTCTGTTTCATTGAGCCTCAAACATAATTGGAAGCCGTGTCTCAGTCTAAGGGAAAATTTACGTTTATATAGCCTCATCTCTGATTTCCATGGAGAAATAGTCAAAGTTGATTTGCAGTCAATGTTAAAGTGAAGAAGAAGGGATGACCAAGAAAATCAAAGATCTAAGTTTGTCTCAGATTATTTTCTTGAAAGACAACTCTGAACATGTATCAGAAGATGGCGCAAAGGGCTCTGTGGTGAAAGAGTGAGGCCTTGGAGATGTTCTCGCAAAGAGGCAGTTGATGCACTCTCACCGGAAACACAGAGGAAGAAACATATGACATTTTCAGCTATTTACATCTCTAGCCTTTTAATATTAACCATCCAACTCATAGTGAATAAACTCTATGGAGACACTTGAGATTGTGGTTGAAAACAATCCCATCTCGGGAGCGTAGGACTGAAAACGTAGGGCTTACTTGCTTATTTCATTTTGGTTGTGATTGCAGTATTTCTCAAATTGATATTCCTGTGTTTTTCCAAGAGCATTCTCACTGGAAATGACTATTCCGTATATATTTTGTCTCGGTCAAGGTCCCAAAGTCTGATTTTCTTCAATCTTCAATAAAACAATGTGAAGTCTTAAAATACTTGAATCAAAGACAGCACATTTTGAGTTGTGATGTGTTTTTGAAGTTATAAGACTTCTATGAGTAATTTACAAAGTTGAATTAGGATCAATGGTACTGTTTGACTTGTTTTGAGCCACTTAGGGATTTGATGCACACAACCTTATTTCCCTCAACATTGATACTATCTTCAAAAATATATTTCAATTTTTTTTTAGTTAAAAATTGCATTCCCATGCACATAGTTCCCACATTGTGTTACAGTGACATGGATGCCTGGGGTTCAGATCCCTTTCATAGTAAATGTGGAGTGGTGGAGTGGTTGTGGTTTGCCTTTGTTCTTCATAAACTGCTTTTGATTTTTGCCTTCATAGATAAATGGATGAAGGATAGGCACATTTATTCAAATCTAAACAAATGAGAAGAAGATGAAAAAAAAACCTGACTTTACTTTTCATTATACTGTGTGGCTACTGTGTATATTGAGAGATAATTGGAAGGAACTTTTTTTTTTTCAAGTGTGTAATTGTATGCATTAAATCTGAACACAATGGCCGGAGCTGCGCTGATTTGTAGCCAGGAGCCTCTTTCAGGTCTCGCATGTGGGTGCAGGGTCCCACGGCTTTGGGCCATCCTCAACTGCTTTCCTAGGCCACAGGCTGGGAGCTGGAAGGGAAATGGGACCCCTGGGACTAGAACTGGCACCGATATGGGATCCTGGCACATGGAAGGAGAGGACGGTAGCCACCCTGCTGGGCCCTCCTCCGTACACTTAACTATTGTATTCAATGCCCTCTCTCCAAGTGCCATTTTTATACTGTCTACGCAGAACTTGTGCCTCTGACAAGACATGTATTTCAACGGGTGCATTTTTTTCACTTTCTTCAAATCCCTGGAGACATAAAGACCATGGGGCTTGTGTCTTGCAGCATCCCAGTGAAGATCAATTGCAGTTTGACTGTGTTTAGTTTGGGGAGAGATGCATCACATTGCTTGTTGAAAATTGAGACAAGGATATAACAATGGAACTTCCTCCTGATTTTGTTGAGTACTTTTTCATCTGTGGCAGAAATCCTTTTCTCCCACTTTCCTAAACTTCTCTGTAGCCCCTGCTAAAACCAGCCACTAGATTCCCTTACAGAGTGTTCTGACTGCTTGAACCTCTAACTTCCCTTTTACTCAATACGGAATTTTCATCTAAAA